GCCCCGCTTCCCGTATGCCAGGGCCGTGTCCGTCTTTGCAGACCGCGGACCTGTGGCCGCGCGACCCAACAAGCACGGGACTGCGTCAGTAGTGTAGTGGCCACAAGACGAGTCGTCTGCGAAATCCTGAGCTATGAAATAGGACCAAGAACTTCTGGAGTTTAAGGTTTAGGCTTTGGGCTGTTGGGTGCCACATGGTTCATGCTGACATGCTGCGGCAAGAGCTGATTCAAGCATGCTTGTCCAAACCCATGCTTGACCACTGTGTGTGGGCAAACCACCCGGTTGGGGCGTACTACCACTACTACTACTACTACTACTACTACTACTACTACTACTACTACTACTACTACTACTACTATACTACTACTACTACTACTACTACTACTACTACTACTACTACTACTACTACTACTACTACTACTACTACTACTACTACTACTACTACTACTACTACTACTACTACTACTACTGACCAGAATCATATAAATAGCCCATCACCGAGGTCGGGGACTGATGAGCTTCCGGGCCTGAAGGGCGCACGCGAGTTCTCAAAGTGAGACGCATTCTGATGAAGGAAGTGAAAGAAAGTAGTTTCTGAGCCTACATAAATGTAGTACTGTTGGGGCTCTTATTAGTATCATTGTTACTGTAACACTGTAGAACAGCAAGAGCTTTGGCATAACGATCCTGGTTTGCTTTGAAGGTCATGCTTGGTTCGGTATGGTTATGTATGGTTGATAGTTGGCCATCAAACATCCCAGCTGCCTGTTGGATTTAGCCACGCTTCTGTCAAAAAGCTGCTGTCTTGAGCACAAGCTTTATCATTGAATTCTTGACGTTTGGCAAAACCAAGCCACTCAGAACAGTGGAATGTGGCATTGTCCAATGCAATGCCCGCCTGCTCGCAGCGGTGAGTACCGTCTTGCTCACCATCACGGGGTTTCGTACTGTAGCTGATCAGCACGCACTGCGCGCATCCATGTGCAATGAAGCAATCCTCGCAGCAGATGCGCCTTTCCTGGATGATTCTGCGACAACCTCAGTTTTCGGGTGGGCAGGAGGTCTATGTCTTGTGCATGAAATTTGACGGCATGAACCCTGCGCCCACACTGCCAGATCCATGCTTCCGCTGGCTGCTGCCGTGAAGTTTATGCAGGCGGCTTGTGTGCCCTTTGCACTCTTCTCCCGCTGCGCCCTCTTGTAAGTGATCTTGAGCAGGAGTCCGCGGTCGCAGGAGCCTTTGACGAGCTTCGCGTCGTGAATGACCATTACCTCAATGGTTCCGCTGCGATGGATGTCACGGATGTTCAGGCCTTGCAGAGCTCTTTGATCACACGCTCCTCGCGGGAGCGAGGCAATCTTTCCAGAGATCAGGATCTCGACTCGGCGGTTTCCGCGAAGATTTTCCACGACATCGCTGACGTCGTTGATGACGTCATTGACGGTGCCTCCAGTGCTGCGAACACGCTGAAATCCGCAGGGATGGAAGTGGGCACTGCAATTGGCAATGCAGCCATTGTGGTGGGGTCACACATAATCGAAGAAGCAAAAACCACGTATGACAGTTTGCCGGGCCCCATCAAGAATGCAGCATCACAGCTAGGAGAAGTGGCCGTGCGAGTCGGCAGTCTGGTACAAGACGCCGGGGCGGTGGTTGCAAATGCTGCAGTTCACTTGGAAGGAGCTGTCTTGCACCATGCGCAAGAATCTGTCCAGCAAGGAGTAAAGTTGTCCAGTAAAGTGGGCGACCTCATAACGGACAAGGAGACGTTGTTGGGAGGGGACGTCGTGAAGCTTGGGCACCTAGCTGCGGGCCTGGCTTCAGGGACCTGGAGTAGCATCAAGGATGCTGTCAGCTGCTGGAGCGACGCGACATCGCTATGTCTGCTTCTGCTCTCCGACCAGTGCGATTGCAGTGCCTCAAGCCATGTCACAGTCTCTTTGGATGGCGTCTCCCTGAGGTGTGTTTTCTCCAAAACCTCCAAGTTTTCCAAAGGCTATGTCTTCACACCCGACAGCAGCAAGAAGGCGTCCGCTGACAAAGCCGGCAGTGGCAAGTTGACATTGCCCGGCCGGGACTTCGTGCAGGCTCACAAACAGCGTGGCCAAGTCCTGAAGCCCCGCGTCGCCTTGAAAACGAAGAAGTCTCTGTTTCCTTCAGGCTCCTGTGAGTCCAGCTTAGAGTTGGCCTTCGAGGGAGCTGTGCAGTTTGAGCCCGACATTGCAGTCAACGTCAAGTTCAACGGCGACGCCGAGTTCAACATCAAGGGTTTGGTGCGCGCCAGCATCGATGCACTGGCCACGGCTCAGGGAGGCTGTGCCCTGCGCGCTGGGAAGAAGTTTCCAACCAAGCCGATCAGGAAGGTGATCTGCGTCAAGATGTTCTGCCTGCTCATCTTCATGCAAATGAAGGCCGAGGTAGAGATGGTCGGTGTTCTCACCGGGACAGTTGAAGTGGGAGCCTCCGTGGACTTCGACATCGAAGGCACGGTTACAGTCAATGCCAAGGGCGATGCCGACGTGTCCTTCTCCAACCCATCCATCACGCACGAGGCAAATATTCGGCAAAGTCATCTGAACTACTTTGGGAACATTTGAAAATCGTTTCGGGCCATTGTCGGATTATCATAAGTCAGCCGAGCCAGCCTGTTTGTCGAAACTGCTTTCAGCACGCTTCCACAGCTGGTGCTTCCTCAGCTCTAGGCTCTTCAGTTCTTAAGGGACAGCATCATTTGACTGCACACAATCTTCAGCCCGCTTCTGGCCGAGCGATTTCCATGCTCCAATCGCCGTCCCAAAACTGCAATTCCCGACTACACCTGTAAATCAACGCCCGACGCGAAGACTCACCCAAGCGTGAGCACCTGCCCTTGCGTTTCGGCCCATGTCAAGCAACTCTGCAGCAACGAAGCACAAGAATCGAGGGTGGGAGGGGGGGGGGGGTGTATTCCATGATCACAAAAGGTAGCTTTCGCCTTTCGCCTTCCTTCTTTCCATTATACGCATCATCAGGGGTTCTTTTGGACAAGCTGTGGGTGGTCCTCCCCCTCCCACCAGGTCTTCGATCTGTATCGAACACAGGGGTGTTGGGCCCTCGGTGCCTGAACCTCGTTACGTCACCTCTGCTTCCAGGCCGATGCTGCCGGCCCTTGGGCTCTGCCCTCAAGTATTCACCAATATTGCCAGCACTCCAGTGGCGTGCACGCATGGTTGCGCAAGGGCGCGTGCGCGCGCGCGCGAGGGCGCGTTGGGATTTGCAAAGTGGCGTGCGGCATGGGGCTTGCACCAGCTTGGATTGCCTATATCTGTCTGGCTTTCATGTCTCGTCATGTCTGTTGTCGTCCTGTTGCACATACGGCGTATTTGCTCGACGCCACCGTTTGGGGTCTTTGCCGGCAGAATGTAGCCATCCCTTCTGGCGCGTTAAATCAAAATCAGAAAGTTGATTGATTGTCCATGCTTCGGCGTTCGTATTCCTGGATGCTGTATGCTCTGTATATTTAGCCTGCTCTGAGAGACCCTGACAAGTTAGCTATCCCACAGCCGTCGATGGGAGGATGGCTTTGCGATTGGTGCGAGTGCCTTTGGCTCCGTGCGCGTGGGTGCGGGGCCGATGATAACAGCTCCTGGCTTAGATCTGCACAAGACGGACAGCGGGCAATCGTCACAGCATCACACACACACACACGTGCATCCGTGCATGGAGCTAAGGTTTGGCCAATGCCTGGAGCTCCTGTGAACTTCAACCCTATGTTCCATGCTGAGTCAAGAGCCCAGGGCACGCTGAGCTTCCAATCGGGCTTCTCTCTCCTCCAGAACTCTCAGGAAACCCTTTATATACATAAATAAATATTTTTAATATTATATATGTAATATAAAAAATATATATGAAACCCTTGAGGAAACCCTTGGTTCGTGGAACGGGACTTCGGAGCTCCAGATCGGTTCTCATCGAGCTTTGGCTGGCTCGAACGTGGGTGGACCCGAGCTCCACATGTGCGGGGCAGCAGTCGGAAGCCCAGGTCTCAATAGATGTGCTTTGAATGCTACATTGTACCAGCCGTGGGAGTGCGAGTACGAAGCAAGATTTCGAAGCCGGAAGGTCGCGTCGAAGGGTCACGAAAGTCACAGTGACAAACCTCGTTCGTATGTGGGGCCGGTGCCAATGATTTTTCTTGCAATCCCGGAAAATCATTCGGCGTATCTGCAGGCTGCAGGCGCGGGTGCGAAATGCAGAGCGACAAGCCTTATTCGTATGTAGGGCCGCCGGTGCCACTGTTTTTGAGATTGTTTCAAGTGTTTGTGTTGACTCTGTGCCCTTCTTTTCCCCTCTGCCTACGAGCCCTGCAACAGAAAGCCGGAGAATCTGAAGCCCAATATGAAGGGCAGCAAAACTGATCAATGCACGGGTGACCCAGTTTTCGGTTGGTTTTCTGACCTCAGTTCACCTTCGTCAGTCTGTACCCTCACATCAAGTTAAGGCAGCTAGAAACACCACGCTTATGACTTGCCAAACCAGCAAGACCCGAGCATGACAAGATCACAAAGTTTCGCGGGATGTGCTCCAGAAAAAAATGCACGCACATGTGGGTTCCGTGAACGCTGCACAAAAGGTGTGCCAAAGAGGGCCGAGTGTGTGGAAGCCGTAGGCCCATAATTGCTGTGTGGTGCCGGTAGCATCCTGCTTTCTGTATCCCTTGGGAATTATTTTTTTGTTTTTGCTTATATAGAGCCCAAGAGGATATTAAGATTATACTTTTTATTAAGGTTCTAATGGGAGTATAGTCCTTCTTTCCAAACAGAACGAAGAGCGAAACCTGCTTGCCCGGCCCTGCCGTCAAGGACAGGCCACGGCCAAATGAATGTTCCGGGTAGGGAGCAAGAAGCATTTTGCAAGTTTGTAGGCGGAGGGTGGATCTTGACATCCCGGACCTAAGGTCTACAAACACAACTTTTCTGACGTGCGGAATTATTGTTTATCATGAGTTCAGAAATCTGCTTGGGACCCTTCGGCGTTCTGCGAACTTCGAAGAAACCCCCAGGTTTGGGAAGAGCACTTGACTATATCCCCCTGGGGAATCATTTTCTATTTTTAAAACTATTTTTGTTTAAAAAAGCCCAAGAGGATATTAAAAATATCGTTTTTATTAAGGTTCTAAGGGGAGTATCGTTGAGATAGGCCAGGGAAAACCAGTGCAGCAAGGTTTATTCAAGCCAGGGTAAAATCAATGCAAGCATTGAAGCATTGTGAGAAAGCCGGAAGAAGCGGTAGCAGTGAAGAGCCTTGGGAAGAGGCCGAGTTTAGGGTTTAGGGTTTGGGGTTTAGGGTTTGGGGTTTAGGGTTTGGGGTTTAGGGCCCACAGTGATGTGTTTCCACGCCTCGATCAACTCTTTTTGAGCAGCCGCAGGCAAGTTCTGAAAGGAACAGAGTTTATCCATACTTCCGTGTGAGAAGCATGTCCGGCTACCATCCTTTGTGTGTCGGGCGCCAACATGCACGCGAGCGTTGCATGTGAGGTGTTTCCGGACAAAAGAAAAACGGACACGGATAGCCCCCACGGGAGCAAATATTGCGCAGAGTTGGTGCTGGTGCTACTGTAGGTGGGATTGACACGGTCAGTCATCCGTGTATCGAGCTACAATGATGTGTAGGCATTGAACGTCTACGCGGACGCCGACCTCACAGCCTTTGCGCTGCCGCCATCAATCGGTTTTTCAACCGATGCGCTCAAGGAAAGCATCGAGGATGCCATCATGACCAGTGCAGCAATGCTGACCTTCGCGTTCGGTGCCGGTTCGTCATGCATTGGCTGGTCGGCAGAGCTTAAAAACTCAATTCATGATGCGGCGATGGAAGCGGCCTCTGCGATTACGGGTCTCATCCCTGACCTGCACCTCGATTTCACAGGCTTCAAGCCAATTCAGATCATTGAGCCCAAGAAGCTGTACTGCACGGAAGCATACAAGACACCGGGATTCGATACAGCCGCCTGTGCGGCGGACCTGGGGTGCAAGCATGCTGGCAGGCCGCCTGACCCCGAGAATGAGATTCCGCCGCCCGAGCAAGTATCAGAATATGTGAAGTGGACTGCGGCAGCTTCAGATTGCTCCTGGTTTCCCATGGGAGATCGGTTCATAGACGTCGGCAAGTGGCGCTTGGCGGCCATCAATGATGACCTCTTCTTGATCTCGCATATTGTCCTTGGCCCAGCTGATGGTTGTGTTTTTGCGTGTTCTGATTGCATGCTCTTCGGTGTGGGCCCCCATGTTAGTATCCGGTTGCATCTGAGCATATCTGAGCATATTTAAATGCAGAAGACAAGGACCGCTTCTCTGCTCAGATCCTTTTTGCTGACGGCACCGTTCTCGCTGGACCGCACAAACACTGGTGCTGCTGGGGGAGGATCGGGGCACACAAACATCCCCAAACACTGTTAAGGCTATTCAGAGTCCTTTCAAGGACACGTGAGCCGACGTTAAAAGCGGTCAAATGCTGAGGCCGCGGGGAGAGTCCAAAGGAATCAAGTTTGGCTTCCAGTTCATCCAGATCGGCAACTTTCGCCTGGGTGCTGTGGATGACACCCACTTCTCCATTTCGTACGGTGGATCGCATTAGAAGGTCTCTTTCGTTTCACGGCTCCCCAGAAGGTCTTCTGTTGTCACTCGAGTTTTGACAGCGACGCTGCACAAGAGCAACTCTTGCGAATTACAGCTGAGGCATGTCGGGGGTGTGACGCAGCAGCTCTTCAGGAGTGATGGCACGGTCTTCCATGGACTGAAGGCTTCTCGCCCTGAAGTCTTTGAATTATGCATTCAATTCCATGATCGTCAAGCAGACACCTGACGTTTCTTGTTGAACACGTGGAAGACAAGGACAGGGCAACTTCAACATTCGATCGCCCCGAGGGAGCTCCTTTGGGTATCAGCATCGGGGACAGGCTGCCCGGACCATTCGGCTTAGTGGCAGTTCATTGTTACCAATAGCAGTTCAAGTGGCAAGAGGCAACCAAAGAGACGCCACGTAAGACAAGAATGTCTCAAACTTGCCGATGGTGCCGCCGAATTCAGGTTCCTGCAGTTCGGAAACTTCCGACTTGGGGACGACGACGGCTGGAATTTCCTGGTGACGCATCGAGTGAGTTGGCAAACTATCCAGCTAATCCACAAGGATGGAACGACGGCATATAACAGGGGCACATCATATACCTCTCGAGTGATCGGTCGAAAGCTCACTCCATGGACATGCCCCGATATCACGGAGCAGGCGTATGGAGCCTGCAACCCGGACTTCGGATCGTGGGGGGATCGATTCATCCAGCTTGGCGAGTGGCGCTTGGCGGCCACGGATGCCACGCACTTCTCCATCTCGCACCTATATCCCCCTTGGGAATTATTTTTTTATTTTTGTTTATATAAAACCCAAGAGGATATTAAAAATATTATTTTTATTAAGGTTCTAAGGGGAGTATAGGCACAAGGATGGCAAGACAGCCCAGATCTACCGCAGCGACGGGACGCTCCATCCTGGGCCGCGCAGCGATCAGAACGCCTGGGGCAGACCTGTCGGCTTTCCCCATGGCATCACCTTTGGGCCGGGCTTCATTCAGATCGGAAACTTTCGCCTGGCAGCCATGGATGCGACCCACTTCAGCATATCACACCGAAACGGGCAGACGATCCAAATCTACAGGAGTGATGGGACGCTACATCCAGGACCGAGGCACGACAAGAATGCATGGACCTCATCACTCAGTGCCGGTCCTCCCGCGGGCATCACGTTTGGGGACCGGTTCATACAGCTTGGAAACTTCCGGATCGGGGATGCCGATGGCAGGCAAGGCAACTCATATCAACTAATTAAGAACAATGTGTAGCATCCAACAGTCCTAAAGGCCACGGAAAGACTCCGAAAGGAGTGATTCTGTGATTTTTCGGGTCGGAGGCCGGGTGCCGAACTGTGGATCTGTTGGGGGTTCCTTCCGCTATCGTCATGATCCCACCAGTATCCACCCTGCAGTCCCGTTGCTGTACGTCCTTCTCATTATAACTCCGCCTCATTGATGGCAGGCACTTGCTTTTGACTCACAGCGGCGGTCACTCCATTCAAATCTTCAGGGACGACGGCACGGTGCACCCGCACACAGGACTTTCGTGGACCCCGCAGGTCAACGACCGGTACCCTCAGTGGCATTGCGGCAGTATCCACGATATCTTGGGCACTTGCCCAGGCATCACCGCAGGTCAGGGGCCCCTGTCAAAAAGGCCTAGTCCTTCAGTTCCCCGCAACATCCCACTGGATTCCTGGTTGTTCGCGACAGTGGACGTTACCGTAATCGCCCTAAATCAGTAGCGGAGCAACTACACTCTTAAACTTACGTAAGCTTAAGGGAGGCATGATGAGGCGTGGTAGATGCTTTGCCTCACCCTTTGTGCTACACTCGCACACATTTACCGACACCACAGGTGATGACTTTTTGCAGCTGGGGGACTGGCGTCTGGGGGCCATTGACTTCAAGCACTTCTCTGTGTCGCACCGCGGCCACAAGACTGCACAGATCTATCGTGATGACGGGACCCTGCATCCCGGCCCCCGCACAGACTGGAGCAGCTGGGACCGTGAGCCCAAGAACGCCCATAGCAAAGTGGCCTTCGGAGATCGCTTCATCCAGTTCGGCCATTGGCGGATCGGTGAAGTAGACAACACCCACTTCTCCGTCTCCCACAGCCATGGCAAAACTGCGCAGATCTTCCGTGCGGATGGCACTTTGCACATGGGGCCGCGTACTGATTTCAACTTGTGGCATGATCGTCATGTAGGTCCGCCATTGGGCATCACGTTTGGTGATCGCTTTGTGCAGATTGGCAACTTTCGAGTCGGAGACATCGATGGAAGGCACTTTTCTGTGGCCCACGTGGATGGTCAAACCATTCAAATCTTCAGAGAGGACGGAAGGCTTTTCTCAGGCCCAAGGCAGGATTTCACGACCTTTGGTCGTGGACTGCTGGAGTGCACGGTGCTGTAGATGCCCACATGGAGAAAACGGATCCGAGGTCCAGACCATGTGCAATGTTTCAGCTGCTGCGCTCTGCCGCAGCAATGACGAAGCATCTGCATTTGCTGTAAGGTTCACCAGGAAGAAGCAGGAAGCAGTTTTTGGCGTGAGAGAACGGCACTTGGCCCGTGCCCGCATGTCCCGCGCGATCAAGTTTCTTTGTGAAGGATCGTCCTTTACGATGAGTAAATGAAGAAAGCATGATAACTACTGTCTGAACAAGAGATACTGGAAGTAGTACCAAACCAAATGAATCATCACTCGTAGCAACGTCAATCGACGGGTGGTGTGTTTACAGGATCCGATTTTGGTCTCGAGCATGCACGCCCCATCGACCCCCCCCCCCCCCAAGGCAAACTTGAGCAGACGCAATGTTGTTAATGCATGAAGTCTAGCCATGGACGCCTCTCAGTGTGGGAGCAGCCCCTGCTGCACCAACGACAAAAAGGAGGCAGGCTCTGCAAAATCATCTCTTCCCGCAAAGTGCACAGCTCGCTTAGGAACTTATGAACCTGTGCCTTCCTGTGCTGCCAGGACCACGGGCTTAAGGCAGTGCAAAGTGCTTCGCTGTTTTTTCACCTGCCACGCGCTTGGAATCCCATAGCCTTGAGCTTTCGTGCAAACATCGATCGCTCAACCACATGTTGTTGCGTATTCCTCGAAAGTAGCTTGAGGTTGATGTGGTTGAGCACACAAGGAAACGGTTCGAACGACTTCATACAACATCATCGCTTCGTCACGGGTGTGCTTAGAACTCTTGCGACATCTTCAAGTAAGTAAGTTGTCGCATCTTTGCTTAGGTCTAGGGCATGTGGCGCCGCAGAAATCTGTGTCGACAAGTTCGGACCTTCAATCCTCAGCACACCACCTAAACACAACCCTAAACTCCCTAAACTCCCTAAACTCCCCAAACTCACCAAACTCCCCAAACTCCCCAAACTCCCCAAACTCCCTAAACCCATTCAAGGCCGGACTCCTCCCAAGTGGTCGACGCGACAAAGACTCCGGAGGCGCCAACAATCGTTGCTACTGTGTTATACGATTATTTAATGGCTACCGCCAGTGCCGCCGACCCCACCCCCCGCCATTTTAGGGTGCCTCAGGGCTTAGGGAGTTTCTTGGGTGGCTTCGGCTTGGGCAGCTTGGGGTAGTTGGAGGATTTGGGCGCCCTTTGCAGGGATGACGCTATGAGGGTTTAGGGTTTAGGGCTAGTTCGCAGCCTTTTGGGAGAGGGGGGGGCCTTCACACTGGTGGCGGGCGGTGCGGATGGCGGCTCGTCAGCGTGGGTGGCTCAGGGGGCGGGTGGCTTGGGGCGGTCTTGGTGGTTCGGGTCATGTGGGTGGTTGGGGTGATGTGGGGTTCGGGTGGTGTGGGTGTTTGGCGGCATGGCTTCGTTCATGTACAGACTGTACAGCCTCAGAGTGTCCTACTGTGCATACCTAGGCTGGGCACTCTGATAGGATTCCTGACCCTTGAGGCGGCTGCGGGCAAGTGAGCGAGGAAAGAAAAATACAAATTTGTTAAGTTTACCTGTAACTCCGTATCAGTTTTGTGGGGCCCCTGCAGGGTCCCAGGAAGGGACCAAGCAGGGCAGCCCCCCCAACTAGAAAAACCTAGATGAATTTAGAATCTGTCCCCATGTGCTTGCATAAAGGCCCACGGGAGGGGGACCCAAGGACCCCCCGGGGCAACCGGCACCCCGAGAACCAACGCGGATCCTGCAAAAACAGGGCGACCGACCCAAGGACCGGCGGAGGGTGGGAGAAGCGGGCGACCGACCCAAAGACCGGCGGAGGAGGAAGTTTTAAAACTTGCGTTTTGCGTTGTTCTATACGTCCTGTTGAGTCGGGCCTTTTTTGCTTTGTTCTAAGCGTCAAAGTGGGCAGATTCCAAATTCCACCGAATCCCGGTGCCCTATGCTCCCTTAGAAGGGCCCCCATGGCTCAAATCCTTCGGCTAATCCAGGGCATTTAGCCTTGCGAGCAGCACAACGGCAAAGTTTGGATTGCGAGCCAGGGGTCGGTCAGAAGAGCGTTTGGAAGCGAGGCTTCAAACGGCGCGCGAGGTTCACGAAGCGGGTTGGTTGGGGTCACACGCCCGACATGACGAACACCTCAAAAACATAGGCAAACGATGGAGCAAAGACAACAGAAACAAAGAAGCACGCAAAGAACAATGAAATCAGAAATACAAGCAAAATAGGTCACGGAGTTTCTCTCCTACTCAGGCAGAACAAATTAAAAGGAGAACAGCTCAAAAACACAGGCAAATGCTATGCCAAAAAACACGAACAAGCATGCAAACAGCAATGCAAACGGAAATAAAAGCAACGTAGGTGACGGAGTTCTTTCTCCCACCCAGGCATAGGACAAAAGAAGAACACCTCAAAAACACAGGCAAATGCTTGATCAAAACCCAGAGAAACGACAAAGGACGCAAAGAATGAAAACGGAAATAAATCCAAGGTAGCGGACGGAGTTTTACCTCCTGCCCAGGCATAGGAGAAAAGAGGAACGCCTCAAAAAGAGAGGCAAATGCTGGATCAAAAGCAACACAAACGCAGAAGGAGGCAAAGAGCAATGAAATCAGAAATACAAGCAAAATAGGTCACGGAGTTTCTCTCCTACTCAGGCAGAACAAACTAATGACAAGGAGAACAGCTCAAAAACACAGGCAAATGCTATGCCAAAAATCACGAACAAGCATGCAAACAGCAATGCAAACGGAAATACAAGCAATGTAGGTGACGGAGTTCTATCTCCCGCCCAGGCATAGGACAAAAGAAGAACACCTCAAAAACACAGGCAAATGCTTGATCAAAACCCAGAGAAACGACAAAGGACGCAAAGAACAATGAAAACGGAAATAAAACCAAGGTAGCGGACGGAGTTTTACCTCCTGCCCATAGGAGAAAAGAGGAATACCTCAAAAAGAGAGGCAAAGGCTGGATCAAAAGCAACACAAACGCAGAAGGAGGCAAAGAGCAATGAAATCAGAAATGCAAGCAAAATAGGTCACGGAGTTTCTCTCCTACTCAGGCAGAACAAATGACAAGGAGAACAGCTCAAAAACACAGGCAAATGCTATGCCAAAAATCACGAACAAGCATGCAAACAGCAATGCAAACGGAAATAAAAGCAATGTAGATGACGGAGTTCTATCTCCCGCCCAGGCATAGGACAAAAGAAGAACACCTCAAAAACACAGGCAAACGCTTGATCAAAACCCAGAGAAACGACAAAGGACGCAAAGAATGAAAACGGAAATAAAACCAAGGTAGCGGACGGAGTTTTACCTCCTGCCCAGGCATAGGAGAAAAGAGGAACACCTCAAAAAGAGAGGCAAATGCTGGATCAAAAGCAACACAAACGCAGAAGGAGGCAAAGAGCAATGAAATCAGAAATACAAGCAAAATAGGTCACGGAGTTTCTCTCCTACTCAGGCAGAACAAATTAAAAGGAGAACAGCCCAAAAACATAGGCAAATGCTATGCCAAAAAACACGAACAAGCATGCAAACAGCAATGCAAACGGAAATAAAAGCAATGTAGGTGACGGAGTTCTATCTCCCACCCAGGCATAGGACAAAAGAAGAACACCTCAAAAACACGGGCAAATGCTTGATCAAAACCCAGAGAAACGACAAAGGACGCAAAGAACAATGAAAACGGACATAAAACCAAAGTAGCGGACGGAGGTTTACCTCCTGCCCAGGCATATGTCCTGCCCAGGCATAGGAGAAAAGAGGAACACCTCAAAAAGAGAGGCAAATGCTGGAACAAATGTCAACACAAACGCAGAAGCAGGCAAAGAACAATGAAATCAGAAATACCAGCAAAATAGGTCATGGAGTTTCTCTCCTACCCAGGCATAACAAAAGGAGAACAGCCCAAAAACATAGGCAAATGCTCTGCCAAGAAACACGAACAAGCTTGCAAACAGCAATGCAAACGGAAATAAAAGCAACAAGGTGACGGACCTCTATCTCCACCCAGGCACAGGACAAAAGAAGAACACCTCAAAAACACAGGCAAATGCTTGATCAAAACCCAGAGAAACGACAAAGGACGCAAAGAACAATGAAAACGGAAATAAAAACAAGGTAGCGGACGAAGTTTTACCTTCTGCCCAGGCATAGGAGAAAAGAGGAACACCTCAAAAAGAGAGGCAAATGCTGGATCAAAAGCAACACAAACGCAGAAGGAGGCAAAGAGCAGTGCGTCTGAACAAGGACAACACAAGAGCACCTTTAAAACAAAACACACACACACACACACACACACACACACACACACACACACACACACACACACACACACACACACACACACACACACACACACACACACAACAACAACACACACACACACACAACACACACACACACACACAACAACACACACACACACAACACACACACACACACCA